TTTATAGAAATAATATCGGGCAAATTAATCATTTAAACATATAATGTAAAACAATTAATGCTAACTAATTTTGTACATGTCCTCTTGAAATTTGGTATACTCGTATTATTTGGAATGAAGAAGGACATTAATAGACCAGCTTTTTAACCCGATCAGTTACCAATTCATTGTTAATTAACACAAAAACCGTTTCATTCTATCTGTTTTTACATTTTTCGATAAAAAAATACTAACATTGTTAATTAAGTTTAGCAAATATTAAAATATATATATATATATATATATATATATATATATATATATATATATATATATATATATATATATATATATATATATATATATATATATATATATATATATATACTTGCCCTTATAACGATATGGGCTTCTTAACCTTAAAAGCTATGCAAAGAAAGTGGTTGAGTCAATATGCAATGTGGCAGAATAATGGGACCAAATTTGAATTGGCAAGTTTGTACCATACATATTCAGTTCGAAAGACGCAGTGCGCAAAAGTTTTGGCACTCTCGCTTGCATACAAAAAATGAAAGTGCAGTCGGCGATGCGCGCATCCCTGACTCGTCACGGATTGCCGCATTACTCGCTGATCTTGGACTGACCTACTTACTTTATGATTCTAACTGTCCTAGATTAAATGGCGGGAGAGGGTGAATACGAATAATAAGTGTATAATGAAATTTGTCAGTACTATAAGCGGATATCGGTGATAAAATGGATAATCTACTTTAGAATACACTTATATTCTTCCACAAGTTTCACTAAGCGCCGATAATACATTTAACATCTGTTTAAAAGATAATATGGATTATTATCTATATTTTTAAGATCTATACAATGCAGGTAGTAACTGATATTTTGGCAATTAGTAATTAGCAGGGATATGCCAATAAGGCATATACTACACAAGATGGGTCTATCTTCGGACATACTGTGCAGAATGTGCGGGGAGAAATCGGAATCCATGGAACACTTGATGTGCAACTGCGATTCATTGACAAGTATGCGTATGAGTCTACTGGGAACGGCTTATCCAAAACCAGGGGACTACAGATATCTTAAACCGCAGGATATCGTTAGGGTAACACATAGGATCTATGAAATGATGGTATAAGGCAGGGGGAAGCACAAAAGATCCGTATGGGTCTACGTGCATCGTATTAGCTGACTCCATATGCGAAAAATAAGATAAGATAAATTAACGGGGACTAGCGGCCCCGTCGCTAGTAGTATATTCTATCAGCTCGATCTCAACGCGGTCTCCACTGGAAACATTGTCGTTAATTAATAATGAAATCGTCATGATAACCAACTGCTTTTTTCTCCTCACCAATAATCCTTCATTGACGCCCCGCCAGCATATATCGATAGCGTAAGCAGGATTATAATTCAGTTATCACCAAAAATACTATTACCAACGGTACTCAGCTAATGTGACATAAATTTTTACTTAGACTTCTTTCTTTTGCCTTTTACAACATCCTGCACAACTATAACTAAAAAGAAGTGGTGACACATTCTGTTCTTTTTCTGTTACCTCGCGAATACTAATAGAAATATGTGAAACAAAAATAATGCCTGTATGTCTGCTCTAGACACACGCAATCGACCAAATAGGTGACACTCTGTAAAAAGACCGAGTTGAACGCAACCGGCGAGCTTGAATAAATAGATTGATGAATGTGTAGGATACGAAAGAGGTCTATTTAAATCGGATTATTGGCATTCTATTGTTTCTGTAATTTTACCAACACATTTAGAGATAAATTCAACTTGTCTAAATTTATTTATCGAATACTGAAGATCTACAAAAGGTATGGTTTTTTGATGGAACTTCCAAATCAAATCTGAAATACACCGCAGTTAATAAATGAAATAACGAAAGGTTATTCTGCGAGACATTTCTGAGAAATAATCCTACTATTATTTGTAAATATGTATGTTTCAATGTTTAACTACTTGTTATTCAATCACAGTTAACATAAACGACTTTTGAATCAAATTTAGTATACAGTTGAACCAAATTCCAGTTACCACTGGTCGATCGTGTAATCCCGGTATAGAATGGGCTATCCTTTCCTTTCCAGTAGGTGTCGTAAAAGGCGACTAAGGAAACTTAGTGGTCGAGGTATTAGCACCAGCGTCCCTCTTAAAACATCACTAAAGACTAACTGTGATTGAAATCCGCCTGCCATGCGTGGCAACTACTGGCAATACTTCCCATAGCGTAACCAAACTCAACAACATGGCGTTATTATCACTACCATCCATATAAATCAAACCAAAAAAAATTTTTCGTTTAACTCTCCATAGAGTTCATATAATAGACATGTTATTCAATGAAGACAAAAAATTTAAATAAACTCTATTAATTTAGGATACTATAACGCTATATCAAACTTTATTTAAATCCGTGTATGTGTTTCGAGTAGCAAATATCTAATCATAATAAACATCACTTTACTAGAGGTAGACTTTGTACAAAAGTCGTTTGCTTGGGTACCTCTGTGCCATTCGTGTTTCAACCATGAAGCAGTTGTATTTGCATGGCTGTATTTCAGTTTAAACGATGGGATATGGCAGTGAATTTACAGAGTACAAAGAAATAACACCTGATTTCTCAGAAATGGCAACGCATTGTGGGTATCATGGACAAAACAGTATAGTATGTTATGTTCATGGTACTGCACGTATCTGTAGGCGACGGTTTTCGCTTTTCATGAGATGGGCCGTCAGCTTGTTTGACATTCTAAGTTGCATAAAAAAATAAACATACTTGCATACTTACACATTTATAAATAAAATTCAGAAAATGACATATAGAAAGAGAATGTAAAAGAAAAGTCTACCCAAAAACAACGAAAGTTTATTTCATTCCCCCTTACAAATTATTCTTATTTACCTTGAAGTCCAGTATTTAAGCGGAGAAAATAGGATATCCGCTTATTTTACACGAAGGGAATACCAGACCCATTCCACGAGAGAATGTCTTAACGACTATCATCTAGATCGAATGATAACAGCTGAGACTGAAAGCTTAACGTGCCTTCATAAGGACGGTGCGGATTTATTTTGTGCCGCGACTCGTGGTATACCTATTTGATGTAATCTGTAATTCACAAACTGAGATCGAACCTACAATCCACTTTTACGATCAACTTAATCCTTTGTGTTTTATCGGAATTAATTAATTTCGAAGAAACTTCCAAAAGAAGAGATTATCAGCTCGTCTGTATTTTCAATAACTACATCGGTTTTGAACTGATTTTGATAAATTATTTTGAAATTGACATAGTTTACTATCACGTTGATTTTATGATGATTGATGAGCCATTTTTTTCGGAAAAATGCTGGTTATTGTTAAGTAAAATCCAAGTACATTTTATTTAGATTTTCTTATAAATAGACCAGCAATAACAGTAACTCGAACAATAACAATAATAAAAGTTATAACACGTCTATCAAGCGTGGCAACTACTAGCAAAACCTTCCAATACCACCTATTTGTTGTAAATAGCAGGATTCAGTAATGAAACATATATGTATTTGAGATATAAAATAATAAGTTTAGTGAAAACAAAAACGAGACATGTCTTATAAAAATCTGACATAGAACTTATTATTTTATATCTCTAATACATACATGTTTTATTACTGCATCCTGCTATTTACAACACTATTGGCCTATGTTTAGCAGTAGACAGTTAACGGCTGATATGATGATGATGATGATGAGACCGGTAATATTAAAATTAAATATAGAAACAAAAAATGCATAAAATAAAGGTTTTAAAATAAATTACATAGCGGGAGGGTTATATTTAACAGTAGATGATGATATTTATGATGATTTTATAATGATTGTCGTTGACTGTCAGAATATGACTGACGTTAATAATCAACGTTAATAAGTGATACGGGATGAAGACTCAGAAAAATGCGCCTTGGTTATTCAATGCTTTAATAAGACGTCAAGTTTTATCCTCCTTACAAATTGTATTAAAAAAAAATTAAACAAAATAATTCGAATCAAATAACCATATATAAAAATTTTAAAATATGCTTTCAATGATAAGAATTACATATCCATTATTTCTGAGGTATCATAGCTTATAAGTTATGATAACTGATTGAAAGTGGTAACTGGTATCTATAAATATAAATATATACACCTTGTGACATCCGTGGTACTCCTTATGTGTTGTTTTTCGCGAGAACTAATTTATTATACGAGTTCTCACCGTTCTTTCAAGCTAAGCTTCTCGATAAAAACACGTGTGGGGCCGAGAATGATGACGGAGAATTTTTTCTCAAACTGTTCCTTTTATATATGTATTTACGTTACAAAATAAGCAATTACACCGTACCATCATGCGTTACTACTACTCGTAAATACTCTTTAGACCAAAACATCAAAGCACACGTTACTACATTATAATAAAAATAGGCAAGTCATGGCTAAGCTATCCAGACAAATATAATTAATGAAAAAATCTATTTTTTTATATGAAAACCATACCGTTATATTAAAAAAAAAAATTGTTGACGTGCTTATTACCTATTTACAAACTAGAAAGTAAGTACACCAACTTCTTACACAATAAATTATCTGATAACTTATAACATTCGCGCTTTAAAATTTTATATTCTCTGTTTTAGATTTTCTTAAGAAATCCTACTTATTTATAATATTTATAAAGTAACCTAATCAGTATGGACGTGACCGCAAAATGTTTTACTCAATTTTTCTACAAAACATTATTTTATTACAAAAATATTGCCTTCTGACTAAAATGTTAATACTGCTCTTTTATCCAAAAATAATACGAACGTTGAATAATCATTCCACGGTTTCCATCAATTCAAAATTTGAATACATTAAGTCGAAACGGAATATCGAATGAGTTTTACATAAGAAGCAGAATATTATCTATCTTAGAAACGTATTTACTTCAACATTTTCATACCAAGACACTTACCCCATCCAACAGTTGTTTCACTACAACATAAAGTCTGGTACACCACAAAAATGTCAAACAAACACGGTCATGTGTTCACCCACTTATAATTACTCACATTATTTATTCAGGCTTTTTAAGTCTATCATTTCTTCAAATAACATTAAATCGTAATTCAAACTAAATTTATTAGAGAGTCGATTAATTAGGATAGTTTTTTTTTAATTTTTTTTTACTTACGTAAGTAGGGACGTGAGGAACCCGCGCGGACGGGTATAATTTACTCGGTAGCGGGCGACTCCGCGCGAGGCTAGTCGCCACTGTGCCGACCCTGCCTGAAGGAATACACCGCGCATGCCTCTATCACAATAAACCCAAGCTTACGCCAACACCGAAATAGTTCACTCGTACCGTTTCAGTTAAAATGAATATTAGAACAATATTAGTTGTTACTTTAAATATTATAATCACATAATTTTATTGAATAATTACATAGATAAATATATAATGACAATGACTTAAATGTACAGATAGGCACACGAATTTTTCCTGCCGGGTATACATAAATAGTAAACCTTTGGTAAACATTTTAACTATTCATGAATAGTTCTGTTTGCCAGACCAATAACTAAGTGTTCGATAGCTTCCTTATCGTATATTTTGCACGATCGTCTATGGTTCAGTTTAGTAGTTAAACATCGTCCATGGCACCCTCCAATCTTTATTCAGCTTTACCCGCACGAGTAACACTTCGTAAGCGGTAATAAAATGTTTGAGAAAAGGAAAATCAAAGATATTTTTTCCTATATATTCGAATTCCGATATACATTATATTAGGGAGCATTTTATTATGATGTTCCATTCTTTATAGTAGATATTAGTAGAAATTGTGTAGAATAGAATGTAATAAAATCCAACGTTACAGCTTTCAGAATTGGAGATAACGAGGCATTATTTCTAAAGATTATTTTATACCTACAAGTATATACTATGGAAAAAATACGTATAACTTATAATGTAGACAGAGATGATTTAGATTCGTACTATATATTAATAAATAGTACAGGAGTTCCCAAAACTTACTAGAGGGAGACTTTATACAAAAATCGTTTGCTTGGGTACCTCTGTCCCATTCGTGTTTTAACCGTAAAGCAGTTGTCTTTGCATGGCTGTATTTCCTGTTTGAAAGGTAGGATATGGCAGTGAAGTTACAGGGTACAGAAGAAAAACACCTTAATCCCTCGGAATGGCAACACATGGGGGGGTATCATGGGCGAAACAGTATACTTTATTATGTCCATGGTGCTGCTCATGTCTATAGGCGACGGTTACTACTTTCCATCAGGTGAGTTGTCAGCTTGTTTGCATATCCATTCTAAATTGCATAAAAAAACTTTTCATTTATCCTATTATTTTAATATTATAAATGTAAAGATGAGATATTTTTATCTATTTCTTGCACAATCTCTTACATCAATCATTTGATTGATGTCATCTTTATGATAAAATAAAAAATTACGATGTTATATCTTTATAATATCATAATTTTCATGTAAATTTCAATGACTAGTAGACTTGAAAAATGCTATGGGCAGCGTAATATATTACATGATGTCCATGGTGTCATATCTATGTAAGCGATGGTTATCTTTTTTCCATCAGATAGACCGTTTTATTTGCTTTATGCTGTCAACACAGACATAAATGAAAATAAATACTTACATCTCAATATATATGAATACGATACGTGCCAAACTTGCAAAGTGAGCACACGTAATTGCGTTGTCTATTTAAATGTATATCAGTGGTTGTTAAGTTGTTTAATAATATTAGATATATGTAAAAAAAGGTGGATAAAGATTACAAAACTATATTTTCTCTTCACAAATAAATAGTTAGACTTTTGCACAATCACAACATTGCATGTTAACTTTCATTCTTCACATAATTTAGAATTATATATATATATATATATATATATATATATATATATATATATATATATATATATATATATATATATATATATATATAATATACATATTCATATGATATATATATATATATCATTTGAATATGTTAATATAATATCTCATTTGAAAACGGCTGAATCATTTATGCTAATTTTTGTTCAAATTGTCATAACAATATTGTTGAGGTAAGGAGAAAAAAAGGAAATTTGGTCATTGTCTTTGTTGAATATCCTTCTTCCTTCTACCGTTTACAATTAAATTTTCAGTCTTACGTCATAAATCCGCTTAAAGGGTCAGTATGTCACTGTGATACTTACCTGAACTAGATTTAGCAAATAAAACACAACCAAAACCAGTCCCTATAATGTAGTCTAGGAACGTACTTCGCCGTAGCATATTGAAGGCGCCTTATATGATGACTACTACTCGTATACATGTTTACAGCATCATTGTGTGCCGACCAAACGTGATAGGAATTAAGTGGATGCCAACTGATGTCCCGTTTTTACACAGAAGGGTGATTCCCTATCAGAGCAAACACTTTGCGGACGCGGCTTTGCTAATTGCAAAAAAATTATATTACATTACAGACTGTTACATCATTTTAGTTTATTTATGTACGTATTATTTGTTTTGTACAGTTATCTATTATTAGTTGTTATTTTCTTTAACTATCCCAATTATGAAGTATCGCGTTCATGATTCACTGTTCATCCCAAAGGTTGACTGGTAGAGAATGCTACTAGCATTAGGTTCACCTTTTGTACCATATTTTATTTTGGCCAATAAAATTATTTAAATTTACTAAATAAATAAATATTGTAATCTAGTCGTATAATACTAAATTAATTCATAATAGTATTTTTAAATTTCTAAACCACTTTGCAAATGTAACACCAGCGTTCTCTCACAGATGGCTTTTGGATAATGCATGTTAAAAATGAAAATTGATAGCAAATATCACACAATTTTCGGATATCGCAACTGTTTGCGTTATACGGAATCACCCTACAGGAATGATGTCACGAACCAGCTAAATGTTCATGTAAACACCCAACCCACATATCTTTCACTTGTTTATAACAATGCCTTTTTAGTATTCCGTTCTTCTTGTAAAGGAAATTGAACCTTTAAAGGACCACCCAAGTGTCAAATCTAAGGCTTTTTTTCTTGGAATCCATTATTAGATTTTCCTTTATTACGATTAATAATTTATTATCTTCCTTTTTTATTTTATTTTTTTTATGATTACATTATAAAGTCTCTATATTTAGGCATATTTAAAATAGAAATCCTTTTTAATTTCGCAACAAAATTATAGAATTAAAATAAAACGAATATAAATAATTTAAACAATTTTAAATATGAAAAAGATGTATGAAAACAGTAATGGTATCTCATAATATGGAAATGGTACATTGCACACGCAAGTGAAAATTTTACTACACAGGATTTTTCTGTGCAAAAATAAACATATTATGATAATAACTCATATTATAATAATATTGATGTACTAACGAAAATATTTTGAATTCGACTGTTTTATATACCTTACATAATAATATTCTCTAATTCCAAATGAAAAAATTCTATTTATAAATGACAAAATTTGTAACAATTGTAGATGGCTGGATAGATCTTTAAATGTGACTCTTTCACGTAAAAAATACTGTACAGAATTGAATACAATTTGTCACACGGGTAGGTTATATCCTAACTCAATATATAGGATACTTTATATACAGATTCACGCGAGTGTAACCACGGGATATAGCTGGTAATTAATAATTATATATCTTACTCGAAAGAGATCAGTGTCCATTTTCCATGTAAAGTGAAGTTTGAAAAACCGTCATTTGATTACCAGTTCCTCCACTTTTTCTTTCTTTTTCATTTAAAAGTTTCCTCTTGTCGGTGTAACTAATTTATGCATCTTCTTCCAGCCAGCTCTATCCCAGGCCATATCCTTGATCTCCCTATACGACATAACACCTAGTGTTTCTTTTATCTGTCCCATGCAGTTATTCCTCGGTCTTCCTCTTCCTCTTTTGCCCTCTATTTTTCCTTCTACTATGCTCTTAAAACAATCGTCATGTCGTATAAGGTGGCCCAACATTTTGCCTCTTCTATTTCCTCCAGTTTATAATAACTTTTATCAAAATGAACTATCAACTAATTTTTAATTTAAAATTAATCTAAGTTTACAATTTCTTACTAATTTGGTATAATTTAAAAACTGGCCAGCATACATCTACTTCCATTCTGGTACTGTCATAAAGCACCTTCCAAATTTGAATTGTCAATATTTAACTGTTAATAAAAATCTCATTACCCGATTAACGTTAATACTTGTTAAATTATCGTTGATAAATAATCTAAAACTGCTTAATTATGTTTCAATTCTGACAGCTAACACAAACGTTGCCAGTTTTACTGTATCAAAGTATAAACCCTCTTAAATCGCGGCATAAATTATTCAAAGCTGAAACGAAAAGCATTTTGTAAAATTTTGTACAATTTGTAGTATAACTTTCACCCGCGTGTATAGGGTTAAATCAAAATCGTTTAGTATCCTTTTAAAGAAATATTCTACTTGGAAACCTGAACGTTTTCATAAAAAAAAAACATGAGTTGGAAAACATAAAAAATGTTTACTCTCTATTCCTAGCAATACAGCGCAACCGACTATTTAATAAGTACGTAAGGATATGTATGGCTGTGTCCTATACACAAAATTAAGGCTCAAAATTATTCATTGTTTAATTTTTAATTCATGTAATTTTTATTTCATTTTATCATTATCATCATCTCAATTATTATCCGTCCACTGTTGTACATAAGCTTCTCCCATACACTGCCATTTCATTTTATGTTTCATATTAAATCCATAATTGGACTGTATTCTTTCTATTAAACATTTTTTTTAAACTCACATTCATGGACGGTAAGACCCTTCTTCATTTTGAAATCGCTTAAAAAGGAATTATGATATACAGATCTACATTTAAACAAGAGTCCACGCCAACCACTTAAATAATATTTAAAAATAAAGTTAATATCAGCCAATTGTACAAATAACGATCTATTCTCATTTTGGGCGATTAAAAAATCTTTGTCTATTAGAATAAACGAAGCGTAAATTCATATTACATTTCAATTGTAAATCGCAATCATCCTGTTATTTCCAAAGTTAATAAAGTTTTTAAAACAAACATCTTTTATCCAGACAATTTGTCTTAATATTTGCGTTTTAAATTTCTCGTAATATGGCCAGAAGAATGTTTAACGGTTTAATCAATGCTACTTGGAAGAGTATTATTAATACACTTGTAAGCTATAGCCTTTAATATCTCACTGCTTT